CCCCAAAACCCCAAAACCCCAAAACCCCAATCCCCAAAACCCCAAAACCCCAAAACCCCTATAAGCGTCAAAGATTTGAACGTCACAGAATATTAATTAAAAACTCTAAATGATTTCAAACCAGTCTTCTACATACGATGGTTCCGGAGAGACTTCTCTATCGGATAAGATCTCGGAGTTGTTCCAGAATGAAACTGGGACTTTTGAAGGTAAGTGGATGGGCTTAGGGTCGATGGAGGCGGGTTTGGGCGAATATCCACATATCTCTTTCCTCTGTTCTCTCTCACTACTCCCCGCTCACTTCTCTCCATAGGAAACACAAATGAAGAATCAACACCCCTCGCCTTCTCCGAAGGCGAACCCCTCCTAAAGAAATCCACACCTGAAGAACCTCCCAAGAAGAGAAAAAGGAGAAGAAAAGCCCATAGATTGTCTAATTCTGAACGAGCAAAGAAAGCCAGAGAGAAGAAAAAGCTGTACTACAACGACCTTGAAAACAAAGTTGCCTCCCTCACTGAGCTCTGTGAAGCTCTCAAGAGAGAAAATACTGAGATGAAATCTAAGCTATCTCAACTACAGAAAACTGAAACGACCGAAAAGCCCTGTTACGATACACAGAAAAAGAGGGATTCTAAAAGCTATGATAAGGCCTTAGAAACTCTCTCAAAACAGTAAGGATACTTTCTGAATTATCGTATCTGTAGGATCTTTAAGTCTTAAATTTATCAGTTTAGCCCTTTAAAGGCAGTATAAAGATGTTATTAACTTCTGACTATAGGACTGGAGGCTTAGCTGCATCCGGACGTACACAATCAGAATCTAATCTTAGAATTGGTACTAAAGATATCGAGAAAGATAATGGTCTTGAATTTAAGCAGAATAGTAATGAGGGTGTTAAAATCACTCATTTGAGCTGCTCTGATGTTAATAGACTAAATGCTCAGGTTTGTCCAGAGGACAAAGATATCATCTTGTATCAGAATCAAAATATTGATGACCAGATGTTCAAAAGTGAAAGAGCAGATGAAGACATGGATAATATGGCCTTTAAATTTGACAGAGAGTGAATACCCCAGAATCTTTTTGAACACGAGGCTGCACCTCGTTTTTGCTTTGAAGAAGATCCGATGGATCTCATATTCAAGAACCAAGGTATATAATGCCAGATCAGAACCTAGTTCATCAAAATCTAAAACTTCTGATACCGATGAGGTAGTTTTTACAACAGAAATCTCTACTTATAGTAATCTGAACTTCTTCTATAAAATTCTAAACACCCCCATCAAAGCTATCATGCCTCTTCCTACCCTAAAATCTGCAATGTCCCATCCTCTCTTCTTCCAAATTTTATGTGGTGTCCAAGGTCCCATCGCACAATTTGTCCTATTAGTACGCTGCTCTCTTTGCACCTTTTACTATCTCAACCATAACTTCCTCCTTTGGGGTTTTGGGGTTTTGGGGTTTTGGGGTTTTGGGG